GTGTAACTGGAGGATACGAGTTTCATACTTACAATGAAATATGTTGTGGGAAGTCACAAGGTTCAATGGCCATCATGCATATACAATGAGGTCGTTGACATAAGACCATAAAAATTTAGATTCACATGTCATATACTCATATGTCAAGCTTTTAGCAAAAAAATTCAATGATACCTATATCAATGTTAGTGGCATCCATCCGTAATACATTTGGTTATATTTCATCTTACTATAAGTCATGGATGGCTAAAACGAAATCAATGAGATTGTTGTATTATGATTGGAATTATTCATATAATGAGCTATCACCTCTGCTGTAATTAATGAAATGATTCATCCCTGGAACCATTGTAAGATCCTATAGTCATCCTACGACCATGCTTCACGGAGAAGTTATCTCTATAAAAAGAGTTTTTGGTGACTTGTTATGGGCTGTCAAGTTATCTATTGAAGGGTTTTAATTTTGTAATCAAATGGTTCAGGTCGATGGGACTTTTTTGTATGGGGTCTACAAACATATCCTAATGATAGTTGTTGCACAAGATGGTGACAAAACATTGTAATACCCCAAATGGTAGGTCAGTGGCTATTTTGAAAGAATTTAAAAATTTGAAGGTTTAATTTAATAAATGTTAAAGTATAAGGAATGGTTTGAGTAGGGTCAATTAGTAAGAAAATGATAATTGAAAGGGTATTTTGGTCTTTTGGAATGAAATAAAATTAAAAATTATTTTTAAAGATTAAAGATTTAAGAAAAAGGGGAAAGTTAAAAATTTTGCTAAGTTACTTATTCCTCTTCTTCTTCCTCCCGTGGGTTGTGCTCTCCTCCATAGAGACAAGGTAAACTTCATTCAGCTAGTTTTTTCTTCCGATTTTGGTTGGCTTTTGTAACCTTAAGTGATAAGTAGGCCTAAGGAAGGGTTAAAGAAGATTAAAACTAAGAGGTGGAAGTTTTACTTGAGATTTAGGAATATGTGTTTTTGAATGATATGTTGATATATTAGTTTTTATTGAGGTTTATTAGTATATTTGACTTGTCAAATGAGTGAATAAGAGATTAGAAGCATTGGATATGATTAAAAACATGTTAGAAAAAGTAGTAAGATTATTGAGTTGATATGTTCTTTGGAAATTTTAGGAGTTATAAGAGATTAAATGAAGGAAAGTTAGTTGGGTTAAGTACAGAAGTGTTTGATAGTATTGTTAGAGGAAAAAGTAAGAGATTTAAAGGGAAAATTAGTAAAAATCGGGCTGAAAAATGGTAAATCTGGTAGGGGTATCGATACTGGAAGAATAATACTAATACTATAGGCTTAAATTGGAAGAAATTAGTTGAATAGTATCGATACTGATGCAATTAGTATCGATACTTAGGTGGGTACAATACCATGAGGAAGGTATCGATACCATTGATTTACAGAATACATAAATGGTATCGATACCATAATAGAGTATCGGTACCATAATACAAAAGTATCGGTACTGAGAGAAAAGTATCGATACCATTAATTTACAGAATGCCGAAATGGTATCGATACTGAAAGGGAGTATCGATACCATAGTATAGAAGTATCGATACCATGGTATGTGTACCGATACTATTGAGCCTAGAATTTAAAGATAGGCTGAAATTTGTTATAGAAAACTAAATAATAGTACTTGTGAGTATTATTAAAGTATAAATATTAGGGAATATACTAACATTTGGTATGGTATGTGCCTTTAATGGATGCTTGTGTAGATCATAACCGAGCTCCTGAATCTAACAAGATCAAGGGCAAAGATAAAGTTGTTGAGTAGCCAGAGCTCATTACATTTTTAGCAAGGATTATTAGGTGAGTACATTTATTGTGTTTATTTGAGAGAAATAAGTTTTGAAATGAGTTCAATTATAAGGTTTCAATTTAATATATGTTAATGGTATTTAATATATTTTTGATGCACCTAAATAAAATACATAATGGTGCATTAAAGGCATTAAAGGATGCCATAAATGAAATGCATAATGGTGCATTAAAGGCATGAAAGGATGCCATAAATAAAATGCATAACGGTACATTAAAGGCATGAAAGGATACCATAAATGAAATGTATAACGGTGCATTAAAGGCATGAAAGGATGCCCTAAATAAAATGCATAATGGTGCATTAAATGCACGAAAGGATGTCATCAATGAAATGCATAACGGTGCATTAAAGGCATAAAAAGATGCCATAAATAAAATGCATAACGGTGCATTAAAGGCATGAAAGGATACTATAAATGAAATGCATAACGGTGCATTAAAGGCATGAAAGGATGCCATAAATGAAATGCATAATGGTGCATTACAGGCATGAAAGGATGCCATAAATGAAAATAATAAATAATTACTAAATAATAATGGGAAAATGTACATAAAGAAAGGTATTCTGAACATACTCAAAATATGAATGATGATAGTATGAAAGAAATATGGTTTAGATAATATGGACTTATCTAATCCTTATGGATGATATGAATTGTTTCGTAGCCAAAGAATCGTGATATACTTATGTTTACATTATTTTTTTTTTACAATATTATGTCTCACTAAGTAAATATTTAACGTGTGTTGATTTCATGCATAGGTGAAAGCAGAGAATAGACGAGTAAGGATTGTTGCAGCAGCTATCATCAATTAAGATTTACTCGTCAGTAACAATAGGACAATCTGGTTTATTTGAAAAAATTAATTGGCATGTAATTAAAGTATGAAAAATGCTCTGAATTGTACTTAATTAGAGCCTTGTAACATATTCTAATTAATGTTTTGTGGTATATAAAACAAATGTTATGTTTTAAGAAATTTGGAAATAAAATTTTACAGGTTTTTAATTGAGGAAATATTTTAAAAGTGATGTGATATCTGTATCTCGTGTACGGAAAGGTATACGGGAGATGGGTGTTATAAACATTTCCCCATTAGCTTCGCCATTGTTAAAAATAAATTGGAGGAATGTTGGAATTATTTTTCTTTCTCATCCATGTTGTCACTCAAGATGAGGTTTGCCTTATATCAGACCGTTCGGTTGGTTTGTTAGCGACAATTCTAGATCGAGAAGTAGATGGTCACAAGTATATGATGAACAAGATCGACATTACGATCATATAACAATCAGCCTTTTCAAACGTATAAACTCAGTGCTGAAAGAGACTCAATATCTTCTTATAACAAATATTGTTAGGGAGACTTACTTCAGGTTGGGTAAAGTTTAGGTAGACAACGTGCACAAATAGATTTGATGATCAATGAAGGGAAAAATTGGGCTCCATATTTAGAGAAGACAACGTAAAAGAATCAAACACATGCAACATCAATGTTTGTTCATAATGTTTCTAGACTTGATTATGATTACGTTATCCAAGCCCTTGTTCAATCACATGAGAATTGCAATTCTACCACATACACTGGTAATTTAAATATAATATGGTGTGATTGCGGTCAATTTCAAGATTTTAGATTCTTATGCGCTAACGATGTCGTTGCATGTCTACACGTTAATATCGATCCGTACTTTTATGTTGATGAGTGTTATAGCCTGTACGCTATGCGTAACATATACAGTTGTGAGTTTAAGCATCTCCCAAACAATGGTTATTGGTCTACATAAGATATTCCTGAAGAATAGTTATCAAATCCTGAATTGCATAGGAAGTTTAAGGGTCAACTGGAATCTAACCGAATTCATACTAATATAGATGATTCTCAAAGATAGCAAGGTCCACCAAAGCTTTGTAGCCACCACAAATGTGAAGGCCACAACATAAAGCATTGTCTGCATCTTCCTAAATATTGATATAGACGATAAAACCTTTATAATTGTGTTTAGTTCATGTTTTTATTTTAACTTTAATTTTAACTGCATTTATGTATTTTTCGGCTTGTACCTTTTATGTGTTTATGTATTTTCAACTTCCACTTTAATTCATAGATGATACAAAGTATTCATAAATAATTGTATTTAATGTAACAATTACTTAATTAGTAAAGACAAAGCATATATTTAAATCATAAAAATCAACATTTTATATTTTTTCAATCATCTCCACAATTTGTTTACTACGACAGATTGTTAAATATTTATATTTGTCTTTCCACTTCTTCTCTACATTATTTTTTTCATATATCTCTAAAAGTAGTTTGCTACTTCAAATTTATATATCTCCACACTTCTTCTGTCTCTTCTCTATTTTCATCTTCTTCTTCAACTCTTCTTCTTCTCGATCATTATCTTTTTCTTCAACTTTCATCCTCTACTTATGTTCCTAAACTATCGACTTTATTGCATGCTTTACTCACTCCTCTTCTAAAGAGAGTTGGAATCCGAATCATCAGAGTCTGAGTTGTACAACCATTAAAGATGGTTCGCAAAATCATACAAAAATTGTTCTCACGCATGCATAATTTGATTCTCAAAATTTTCTCACTTTTCATACATATAAACACCATCAACTCAATTCTATTTATACAAAAAAAATCCAAATTGACCGTTGGAACTCGTCACTCCCACATGACAAGTTCTAATTGAAATTAAAAAAAATTTCCGTTGACCAACGTTCATGTAATGACTAGTTAATTCAAATTAAAAAAATATTATTTTAAATGTAAAAAATTAATATATTTAATAGAATTCATGATGTCAACGTAACGAGTTCCAAGAAAAATAATAAAATAATAAACCCAAAGTGCCCACATACCTTGGTCAATTTAAAAATAATTTCCTGACAAACTCCTCATACCCACATGGAGAGTTTGCTGAACATTGTAGTATTTATCATAGATTATAAAATAAATTTAGAGTTGGACTATTGAGCCAAATAAATAATTCACTTGAATTATTGACCCAATTTTGCCTCGTTCCAAGCTCAGCATGCTACTATTCAGATAGACCCAAAATATGTTACCCAACCCAAAATTTACTCCTTTCATATTGGAAAAGAAAGCCACATAAATTTACTCCTTTCATATTGGAAAAGAAAGCCACATTAGAAAACCCTAACCCTAGCATTTCTTATCTTTCAATCTTGCAAGTCGTCGGCCAATCACTCCTAAGCCTCCGCCGATCCAAGCAATGGGCCGTGTCCGCACGAAGACAGTGAAGAAATCGTCTCGTCAGGTAATCGAGAGGTACTATTCTCGTATGACCCTTGATTTTCATACCAACAAGAAGATCGTCGAAGAGGTGGCTATTATACCATCCAAGAGGCTCCGCAACAAAATCGCCGGTTTCTCCACCCATTTTATGAAACGTATCCAGAAGGGTCCGGTTCGTGGGATTTCTCTTAAGCTTCAAGAGGAAGAGCGCGAGCGTCGCATGGATTTCGTCCCCGATGAATCGGCTATCAAGGTCGACCAAATCGAAGTTGATAAGGAAACCCTTGATATGCTTTCGGTTCTTGTAATGACTGATATTCCTGGGCTTGTTAAGGTTGACCCAGTTTCTGTTCCGGTCCCTCGGGTCGGGTTCGATTGTGGTGGTAGACCGGGGAGAAGGTTTTAAGTAATGGGTATTCGTGGATTTTTTTTGGGGGAGAGGGGTTTGAGCTTTTTCGTTTTTCCTTTTTGGGTAGTTTTTAATTTTATGTGTTTTGCTGGAACAATATTAGTTAGGGTAAAGTATAGTAATGGTCACTGAATATTTCTGAAGTTTGTATTTAGGTCCCCCAACATTTAAAACTTGCAATACAGTCCCCCAACATTTATTCCGTTTGTAATATGGTCCCCCAACTTAAATCACAGTTAGAAAATTAGGATAAATTATATAAACGGTCATTGAACTTTTCAGTCACTTGAATTTAGGTCCCTCAACTTTTAAAACTTGCAAAACATTCATCAATTTCATTCTAAACCCCAATTTCCAAAGTAATTCAATTTTATTCTAAACCCTAAATTCTAAAATACTTCAATTAAATTCTAAAATACTTCAATTTAAGGTAATATAGGCTTGAAGAAAGAGTTCAAGGCACAGACACAACGAATAAAAATATATTTATATAAATGTATATTTATATTTAGATGTATAAATAAAAAATATATTCATATATTAATGTATGAATCATTTATATTTTTTGAATATTTTATTTTTAATAAGAAATTAAAATTATTAATTATATTAGAAATACTCAACTTAAGATTATATATATAATCATGAATTATAAATATGAAAAATATAATTATTAAATTTAGTTTAAAAATATATAAATCTTAAATTTATTCTTTTAAAATATTGTATCAACTAATATTTAAAAAATATATTAAATCTATCAAACAATTTATCAAATATAATATTTTTTTTATTGTAAAAATATAATATTTTCCCATCATTTATTGCTTTCAAATTTTTTGCCGAAGTTCAAATCTCATTATTTCCATTTTACATTATATTCTTTTTTTTTCTGGCATTGATCATACTATTAGTATATGTATTATTGTATATCTCTTAACACAAACGATGGTGTTAGCTTAGTGGCTCCACCCTGTATCTTTCATTTGCGTGACTCAGGTTTGAGTTTGCCCAAGACCCAAATTTTACTTCTTTGTAACTTAATTTTCTTCTAATTAAGAGGTGACATGTGTCACCAATAACACATATCATGATCATGTGTTAACACATGTCAGATCCTGATTAAATGATTAATTTATTAAATTTTATTTAATTTAGGACCAAATTGATAGCATATATAAATAATTAGGTGGTAACATGTGTCACCAATGACACGTGTCATGATCATGTGCTAACACATGTCAGATCCTAATTAAATGATTAATTTATTAAATTTTATTTAATTTAGGACCAAATTGATTATATAAATAATAAAGACTGAATGTATAATAATACCAATTCCTTTTAACTGCCACATCATCATTTTTATCAATTGCTAACGACTAGTGGCTTAGTTGAAACAGTTAAATAATTATGTGGTATGATTGATAAATTTAAAAGATCGATGACAAAAGTAAAAAGGGCTAGATAGTTAAGTTGTCAACCGAGTAGTTTACACTTTTATTTATACGTCAAAATAACATTTTATAAATTTAAAATTCGAATTATTTTCAACCTCTTCTATATCCTAACTACTTTTTTTAATTAAAAAATTTCTTCAACAGATAAGAATTATACTATTATATTTATATAAAAAATACGTATCACATGAAATAAGATGAAATTAAATAATAATAAATTTGACATAATTGAATTTAATTTAAGTATTTTGGAATTTAGGGTTTAGAATAAAATTGAATTACTTGGAAATTGGGGTTTAGAATGAAATTGATGACTGATTTGCAAGTTTTAAAAGTTGGGGGACCTAAATTCAAGTGACTGAAAAGTTCAATGACCATTTATATAATTTATCCTAATTTTCTAACTGTGGTTTAAGTTGGGGGACCATATTGCAAACGGAATAAATGTTGGGGGACTGTATTGTAAGTTTTAAATGTTGGGGGACCTAAATGCAAGCTTCAGAAATGTTCAGTGACCATTACTATACTTTACCCTATTAGTTAATGTTAAGTGGAACTGAAATTTGTCGAAATTTAACGTGTGCTTTCTTTTGAAGAATCTGAAATGTGGTAATATTTTATTTATTTTTTAATTTTTTACATTGGTTTATTCCGTTGATTCTTTTCTTTGAATTTCCTATCAGATTCTGCGCTACTATTTAGCTGTTTGATTGATAATGATTGAAATGGCGAACTTGAATAAGGCCTTCACATGCCACTCCAATGGAATATTAGGCTTAAAACAAAAAAATTTAGGGCCCGCTCTTTAAAGTAATTAATTTTTTATTCTTTCACTTTTTAAAATTTATAATTTAATATATTATTTAGAGTGTAAACTTTAATTTTTATTTTATTTAATCATAATTTCAGTAATTTAAATAATAATGTGTTCACAATGTTATCATGAATTAATTATTTTATCCTATTACTGGAATTTTAAAGTCTTTTATATGGTTAAACTATATTATATATGTCATTTTAGCTTAAAAAACATTCTAAAAATCATTAAAATGACTCCTTATAATTATAGTTATAATTATTATGTTTTATGATAAGTTGTGCGAAATTTAAAATAATTCACGACCGCAGCACCCGTAGTGACCGCGATAGTATCCGTTATGTACGCAACAGTGATAAACGCGACGCGGCCGCGAACGCTATTTAAATCCATGTTCGGAATAATGCCGTGGAAATTTGAGTAATGAATCTCGATTATGGTTATAGATGGTTTGTTTTTAATCATATTTTCTTGTTCTGCAAACTTCAATGGAAATTGTAAGCAAGAAACTAAAAATATCTTTGCTTGATTAGGGTTTAAGCATTGTTTAACTCCATAATCGTATGCTAATTTGGCTCTTTTTCAATGTAAGTTTCAATGGCAAGTGCAAAGAAGGATCTTGAAAGATGAACTTGTTGAGACCTAACTGACAAACAAACAAATCTTTATATATGTGATAATAGCAAAGCTCAGAAAGATTGCAACATTGTAAAATCTAGTTCACAATCATGTAGTTGTTCAAGTACGTTTATACAAAAAATCCAAAAAACAAAAACCGCTGTCTCAATCTGCACATAGACATACCAAGCTCAACAAATCATGAAATATATGACTGGGAAAAAACCCCTTTAAAAACATCTAAAAAAATATGTGATTCTGTACCGACTTAGAATGAGCATCATCTTTTATTTGTCGTTTCCCTTTGGTGATATTGCTTTCGGTTCTTTTGAATGAGAAGATTTACCAGTAATTGCTTTCTTCACCTTGGAAATCGAATTTTTGACTTTGGATCCAACACCTGATAATATGTTTTGAGATTTCTTATGTGGTTTAGTTTCAGCATCTCTCGGTGCCTCGACTATCACCGGGGCATCAGAGCCGGAGTCGTTCTTGTTATGTTGGTCTCCTCCAGGTACTCCATCTACTTTTGGTTCTTCAGCTGGAATGGTTTCTGCAACTACAACATGTGCTTCCTTTCTTACTGTTAGTTCCCTCTCTTCAATCACAGGTTCAGCCCCCTCTATTTTCTCTTCAGCAGATCTTTGGAGTATATCAGACAATGATAAATTTCCCGAATTAGCCGATGCATGTTCCGAGTTTATTTCCGCAACTGAAGTGTCTGTTTTCTCTTCTACATGAGAAATCTCTATAGCTTCTCCAGGTTGCAACTCTCTTGCTTCAGGTTTCTTCATGGCCTCTTCAGGAACCTGTTTGTTAAAATTTACATTAGTATCACATATGTCTAATCTTGACTTTTAATGTGAAAGGGACTACTCGGCATTTTTTATTCGTTTTTGCTGTTACATTTTAGCTTATGATATTTAGACCCCATTACTGGACTTGAAACTAATTTTATATCCTGCAATATTTTGTTTTGGTTATTCATTTTGAAGTTTTTATTGTATTTTTTTATTTACAGTTGTGGCTTCTTTCATGACAACTTGAGCTTGTTCTTGATCCTTCACAGTTTGATCTTCTTTGAGAGTCTCTTTCTCAACATTGTTATTTGCACCATCCTTCAGAGTTTTCACAGTGAGTTGTTTTTAAGATTAAGATTGAATATCATAAGATTGAAGCAATAGAACAACAAGAGGAACAAAGATGAGTGCCTCCATACTGACCTTTTCAATTTCCTTTTTTGGGATTTTCAAGGTTTCATTCGTCTTCTCTGCTGTATGTTCATCTTTTAGCTCCTTAATCTGTCATGTTTGTTTTCCACCATTAATAGTTGTCGAGTTCATAAATACATGATTATAGCAAAATAACAAGAGAAAATGAACAATGCAAGTGAACTATGAACGTTAGTATTAGTGCATGTAAATCAGGTTCGGGTCTGAGTGTAGGATCATCTCCCAAAACCCATGTCCAGATATGCATGAAATACCTTAGTCAAATCCTCATCCGACGTTAACTCATCGGTTATCTTTTTTCCAGAAGAGTCTGTTCGTTTGTCTCCACCATGGCCAATATCTGCTTCTTTTGGATAAACCTCTTTGACATCTTCAACTTCAGCTTTCTGTGAGGATACTGCAACTTTGTCCGGAAAATCTATTGGAGCATGTTCTTTAACAATTGAACTTGGTATCTCTGTGTTTTCAGTGGGTTCTAATTCACTGGAAATCTGATTGTCTGAACCCTTGGCGCCCTCTGGACCTGCCTGTGATAATTCAAAGCTTGATTCCCGATAAAAGATGAAACATATAGCTACTAAGTTTGATTACATATTTCAGTTTAGATTACTCGGAATCAAGTGTGAATGCAAAGGTTTAAATATTTCATTTAATGCAAAAGTTTGGGAGGAGGATTATATGTAATCTAACCTCTTCTGTTGGCATTACTGATGAAGCTGGGCTTGGATTTTCAGTAGTTTTATCTTCACAAACAATCTGCTTTTCAATTATCTCATTTTCACTGATCTTTTGAGCATCCAAAATGTCCTATTACAGATCAAAAGCTTCGGTATAGACTTGTAGAGAATCAAGAAACGATTAAGATGAACAAAATTGAGTTTCTGACCTCTTCTGTTTGAGTCGTTTCCAATGCTTTGTCCTCAATCAGTTTGTCCTGGAGCTCACATACTCCATAGCCATGTTTTGCCGGCTCTTCCAGTTCAGCAATCAAATTAGATGTTTCAGTAACTTCCTTGACCTCCAAGAGCTGCCATTTTTTGAAAACCCGAATCAAAAATGAAAAAGGAAATGCATCAAACCATCAAGGTTTCAAGCTAGTACTGCATTTGATTGCTTACCTCTTCTTTTGAAACTTCATTCACTATGGTTTCATTTGTATTGTCACACTGATTTTCTCCGGCACTTGGTTTAACAAGTTTCTGTTTGATCGATTCATTGTCAAAAGCCTTTTCAACTGTCTCAACTTCAACATTTGTTTGTTCTAGGATCTTTGGTGGACTCTCATCTTTTTGCGGTTCAGTTTCCTTTGTTTCATGTTTCTCAGAAGTCAATGCAGAGGTTTCAGTTTCCCTTGATTCCTTAGCTAATGAAGCTTGAGCAACAGAAGTTTCTTGATCCACAATAGCTTCAGTTAATGCTGAAGCTGAAGATTGATGCTTTGGTTCCTCCACTTCCATAGTTCGAGCAGTATCGGTTTCATCTTTCTTACCATCTTCAACCTCTTCTTTTTCCAAGCATATCACTGCTGCTTGCTTTGCATCAGATAAGTCATCCTTAGAAAGTGATGTCGAACTTGTCTGAATTTGATCATCTGGTTCCTCAATTTGAAGAGCCTCGTCAACAATGGTTTTTCCTACCGATACAGCCTTAGGCTCGCTTTCTCCTTCCTTTTGCAAGCACACTTCTTCTATTGTTCTTTCATGTTTAACTATTTCAGCATCCTTATGTATCTCTTTTCCTATCTTCTCATTCAAGTGTGCAGTTTCTATTTCTTCATCCTTGGAAGGCAATGTTGCAGCAGAAGTTGGAATGCTTTCAGATGGGTATTCAGATGATGTTTCGGGCACAGCTTTGGTTTGTTCAGCTTCATTCACTTTGGGTTCCGATGCTGGTTCTGTTTTCTCCTCTTCTTGTTGTGGATTCTCAACTTGTTTTGTCTCTTGATTAGAATCACTTTCGGTACTTTCTTTGCTTGAATTCACAAGCTCCACATTCATCTCAGTGTTGTCTAAGCTTGTCACAGCTCCAACTTTTGTCACGGTTTCATCACTCTTTTCTTGAACATGCTGCTTTGGTTCATGGACAATGTCCTTAACTTTTTCTTCTGATTCCCCTTCTTGATCCTGTTTCCTTTCTGCTGATTCTACGATGAGTGACGCTTCTTGGTCCTTGGTTGAATATTCTTCAACCTCCAAGTTTTTCGTTTCTACCTGTTCCTTGGACTCTCTTTCCTTCAGACATTCATTTGAGACTGAAGTGTAGTCTTCAACCTATCAATAAAAAGTTAAAAAAGTTTCAAAATTTGAAGATAAATTTAGCAACATATTTGGGGGGAAACCATGTTATTTACCTCTTCAGACAAGATGACAGTCTTGCTCATCTCGTTTGCGTTTTGTTCATCCACCAGTTTGTTTTCCGGTTCCTCATTTATCTTCTGTTCACTTTCTTGGTTTTGAACATCGGGGATGGTTTCATGATCAATTTGGCTCTTGCTCAGTTCAGGGATGGTTTGCTTACTTTTTTCTTCATTTACATTCATGTTTTTCACCTTGGAAATCTGATCAGGAGCTCCTGTTGGCACTTCAGTTTCTTGTTCTGCCAAGTTCGTAGCTAAACCATCTTCTGCTTGGATAACCTTTTCGACATCTTCGCATATACCCGAGGTGTGGTCCGAACCCATGGCTTCATCCAATTGTTTTCCATCTTCGATCTTCTCTTTCACAAATCCTAAATCCGATGATTGTCCACCTTTCGATGTTTCTGCTACAGAGTTGCATTTTCCAGTCTCCTGTTCTGTATGCACGCCTGATTCCTTGAGCAAGTGTTCCGTTCCTGTCTCTTTGGCCTCTATTTTTGGAACATCTAAAGTTGTATTGTCCTCCTTTTCCATTAGTGTATCATATGTTGCTTGTGGGAGAGGAGTTTCGGAATTCTCGTGTACAACTCTATCCTGCATTCCTTCTTCCGTATATATTTCCTTACCCTTCTCGAATGATACAGAGGAATCTGCCGGTTCCACATCAATGCCCACACCATCTACACCGGCCCCTTCATGTCCGGTCGTTGCTAGACTGCTTTCTTCAGTGGGAACAGCATTATCTGTTTCCTGCTTTTTATCTTCTGTTTCTGGTGCAGCCGGTGCGGATTCCAGTTCAGCAGTGTTGGTGCCGGCCCCTTCATGTCCGGTCGTTGCTAGACTGCTTTCTTCAGTGGGAACAGCATTATCCGTTTCCTGCTTTTTATCTTCTGTTTCTGGTGCAACCGGAGTGGATTCCGGTTCAACAGTATCGGTGCTTCTTTCTACTAAGGTTTTTTCTTTGGTATCCCTTGTTGAGTCCTCAAGCTCAGTTGAAGAATTAGCCTGCAAAACATTGAACCTGTAAGGAAACAAGATTGATAAAAAGGAACACATTCTTTTTGGATTGAAATTGGCTTTCTTTTATTAGTCGACCTTTTCTATTGACTTCATTGGGATGCTTTCCCCTTCCTTTATGCTTTCCTTCACGATTTCATCACTAACCGATGAGCTCGGGATGTCAACTTTAGGGTGTTCCTCAATTTCTCTTTCTTTACTCATCTGTATGACAGAACAAATTTTCAACTTGACCCACGGCGACAAAAGTACTATATAAAATATAAACATGAATGAATCACATTAAGCTTTTCTGATTCCGAATTTGCATAATCTTCATAAATGAAACTTTCACTTGATACCATTATAGCCTGGCTTACCTCTTCAGGTTTCTCACGCGCGTCAGCAGCAGATTCATGTATGCAAGCAACCTCCTTGTATGGATTGTCGTTTTGCAGCTCTTTCCCGGAAACTTCACTGATTTCCGAGTTTGTTTCAGTTACCGATTTTGAGGTTAAGGTGTCTCCGGTGCTATCTGAAACGAATTGGTCCTTTTCACTTACCGATGTATCAGCAGGATCAGTTGCCTCAGTGCCTTCTCCCTTTTCCAATACGGCAGGCAGCTTCACTGGCTCGGTGTCTTTCATTTCTTCAATGTTCTTCTCTTCAAGTTCCTCTTGAATATTGTAGGAGGGATCAGCGTTGGTAATCATTTCATTTGCCTCATTCGAGCTGTCCATTATCAGATCCGGATTACCGATCGAAGCTTGTTTCTTGAGCTCCAAGTTAGCCTCTTGTATATTGAACTCGATCTCAGCATTTTGGCTCAGTTCTTCTTCAATATTCCCAGGTTTCTCTTCCAGAGAAGAATCATTGCTCGCAATTACCTCGATCTTCGACATCTTTTCATCCTCCTCCTGTGAAATCTCATGCGATATTGAAAACCTTTCACCCTTGGGTATCTCTGGATTTCCTTGAGAGACAGTATTCAAGGTTTCAACCACATTATTAGCGGCGGCTAACTCAATAGTATCTGATTTATCCAAACTTCCATAGGCTCCCGCAGGCACGGCGAGTCCACCTTCAGATTTCTTCAAATCCAAACTTGGTTTGCTAATCTCCTCTTCTGCTTTCTGCATAGATACTAAAGTTTTTTTTTTCAATTGCATATACAAAATCATAGGAAGATTCTCCATTTTATTAAAATTAAATTTCTTATTGTTTTCCATTTCTACTCATTTTTTTCCTTTCCGGTATGAACAAATCTTTGTTTCTGCAGAGCAGAGCCATAAATCAAGTGCATATGCAGCTCACTGTTTTACATTCCTGTAATAAAATTTACCCAAGAATGACCACTTTAAAGGTAATTCAGCTGTCGGATACTCGTATCAGAATAAGATTCTTAATATCCAAATCTACCATATTCAAGTTTAATAAGCAATCAACTTATCAATGATATAATGCTGATCCAGGTAATCATTAAAGTATTTATCTCAATTTGCTTCTGATTTTGTTTAAGAATCTTAAAGTCATCAGTATCGATGTATGTTTAGTTTCGGAAAGTTAAAAACTAGATCTCGACGCCATTAAAGCGACAGAAATTTCAGTCAAGCCCAATAGTACTAAATTACGATCGCAACGCAGAGTAACGCTCGCATCGTAACATTTTTTAAGGTTACCGTGACGTAATATTGGTGTAACTCGATAAGGGAATTGCATTACGATTGTTGCGGTCAAAAACCGTTAAGCAACACTCCAACACGCTATAAATTGTACCGCAACAAACTTTAAATTATCTAAAATATAAAATTACATAGATGAATTGTTTTAATTTAATTCTTAAAAATGAATTATAAATATATATCATTAATAATATCGTAATAGTTATGGTTAAAATTAGTTACTTAAATTTGAATTAAATTATTTATTAACATTATTTTAAAATTAAATTAATTTAAGTTTAAATTGAATTTTTCTCATATCTAAAATTGACGTGATTAATTTTAAATTAAATTTTTATATTAAAATTAAGTATAATAATTATATGTTTATTTATTTTATATATATTTTGTATAAGAGATGAATTCACTTTATAATACTATAATAGTATATGTATTTTATCTATTTACTATGAAACTATAAAATTTTATCTAATCTATAATATAATAGTATATGTTATTCATTAATATTATAATTGTTATTACCCATTATCTAATATGATAGCACTTCTATAATTTATATTTGTTTTTAATAAATTTTTATCTATGAAATTAAAATTTTATTTTTAAAATATAATATTAAAAGAGTATATTAATATTAATATATTAAAAGATAACTGTAAAATATATAAATATAATATTTTAGACTTATTGTGATTTTTGAGGAAGAGATCATCCCGCGACAGCCGCAACACGTTACGTAACGTCCGCAATCGTGACACCGTAACCGTATCCGCAACATAATCCGCAGCCGCAATTTAATACTATGAGCAAACAGATGGCTCTCATGAATCTGGTTTATCACTTCAGAGAATTATTATTCCTTACGGATCAAAGGGGGAAAAAGTGAGTAAAGACCAGATCACCTTTTGTTTTTTTGCCTTTTATTTCTAGTTAAAATCAAATATCATCATGTTTGAAGTGTTTCAAGGACATCAAAACAGTTACGAAGTGCTAACTGAAGTCACCTGTCTAGTTTTTCTGGTATGAAATTGCAGTATACGTGTAGAAAAACATCATATGATCTTTGCTAACCATGCAGAAACAGAAACACAAAGCAAAACAATATGAAATTAAGGAAAGAACTTTTCACCAGTACAGAAATGGGTTCTGGGATGATTTCTGCTTCAGTTGCCATCTTTTCATGGAGAAAATGGTACTCGAATCTGAACCGAAACCGGAATCGGAAAACTCGAATCTGAGAGTACTAAACTAAACTATGATTCTTTTGGTAACTTTTCACAGCCTTTTGAGGATGTCTATGTTGATCAAAGATGCAAGAGATGTTGAAAGAAGGCAGATAAGCAGATAAATCCCACTTGGTATATGCTAATAATCATGCTGAGTTGGCCATACATGTAATTGGCCCTACTGATTTGTCACTCACATGGCTAATACACACGACTGTAGAAATTTCGTAGAGCATGTCCTTTGGTTAAAGATCATTTGATTTGTCAGACTGGAAAATAAAGAAGACTATGAGATGTTTCTCTGACAAACCTTTTTAACAGTTCCCTTTTTGTCTGAAGGTCGAGTGTTTAGTTGTCTTGTGGGTTCCCATACCTTCCGTAAATTATAACTTTGGGGCTAATTCTAGAGGTCGTAAACGTTCATTCGAATCATGTTTGGGTCGGATTATTTCGGGTCGGTTAATTTCGAGTTTAAATTAAATTTGGTTTAATTTTGTTTGGATCGATTCTGATCTAGTTCGAGTGTACGGTGAATCGAATCGGGTATAGGGTCAGGTGATTATTGGATCGGTTGTTTTCCGGTTCGAATCAATATCAGATCGGTTGATTTTTTGATTAGGTCAATATCGGATAGGGTCAATACCGGATCGGTTGCTTTTGGGTCGGGTTAATTCCGAATCGATTAGATTTTGAGTCAGGTCAATATCGGATCGGTTGATTTTTGATTTAGGTCAACCTTTAGATTATGTCAATTAGGGTTGAATTGGTTATGAGTCTAATCAAAATCAACTATATATAGAATAATTAATATATACTTGTAAAAATATGTCTTCTTATTTGTTAATTTTATCATTTAAGTTTAATTCTAATTCTCAATCGTTCAATATTTTGAATTAAACCATCATTTAAAGATGATAAATTGATAATTTGACACAAATACAATCCTATAATTGTGTTAGAATTTGTTATCAAAATTTTTTATTGATTTCGTATAAAAAATTTATAAATGAGAACTATTTGATAAAAAAATTATTAAATTTTTTATTTCCAATTATGAATTTAATATTTTTATTAAATTTTAAAAAATAATACATAATTTTATTTGTTAAGTTTTAGTCGTAACATAAGTAAACTTTATATTATTTTTATTATAAATCTAATATTATTTCCTTTGTTTTAGTGGTTTTATATTATTTTAATAAAAAGTAGATTAGTAAACTTTATATCATTTTTATTATAAATCTAATATTATTTCCTTTGCTTTAGTGGTTTTATATTATTTTTATTATAAATCTAATATTTTTATAACAAGTAGATAAGTAAACTTTATTTATTATTATTTTTAATTTATAATTAGATTCTTACTTTTATATTCTTCTTAAATTTTCTATTATTTTATTTTAAATATAATATTTTTAATAAATTATCAATTTTATTTAAATTAATTTATTATCGAAAATAACTTTTATCGTTTAATAAATTTTATCAATTTCAATCTGTTCGAGTTGCATTTGGGTAAGGTTATATTCGGTTCGGGTTTTTTTCGGATCGGGTTGCTTTTGGTTCGGGTTAATTTCGGTTTCGGTTCGGGTTAATTTAGGTTCAGGTTGATTTCGATTTCGTTAAATTTTAAATCGGGTATGGTTCAGGTCGGGTATGAGTATCAGATCAAATTTGATTATTATGTTCGGGCTAATATCAGATATTAGATCGAATAAATCAATTCGAATAATCGAGTTCGAGTCAAATTTGTCAGGTCTAACTAATTCTTCACAGCACACTTTAAGTTGTGATCAGTTGGGAAAAAGATTAAGAATTCCATAAAGGTTTTTTTTATTATTGAAAAAAAGGAACGAATTCAAAAAAATCCGGACCGATGGATTTACACTCTCCATTCTAGTGATGATATTCATAATATGAAGCATCAAAATTGATTCATGATGAAATATACCATTTTTCAAGCGTTGAATTAGGGAAGAAATAAGATTTTGGTAATACCAAGACGGTTCAACGTAGTAGTTTTGATGGAGAAATTTTCGAATATTATATTACCTAATGATGACAAGTATAATTATTGCACTTATTAAACCTAAACACTTATCTTAACAAAGCACGGAGAATCTTCTTTTCTTTAAAAAGTTAAATATACTTGTCATAATTAGTTGGTATATCGATAATAAAGTTTTTCTTGTAAATAATAATACATATGATATTCAATAATAAACCACAAATATTTATAAAAAAAATTACCATTAATTTATCAAACAATATATTTTATGAGATCATTACCGTTAGACGGAAAGTAAAACTACAAACATTGAAATTAATTTTTTATAAATTAAAATTTTAGAAATTATGTTTTTTATTAAGCTAAGATGATTACAAAATAGTATTTGTTCTAAATACTCTTAACCATTTTACAATGAACGTTCAATCACCCTACTATAGCTGTTGGTACTCAAATTCATGACCTCTAGAAATAACAATAATTTCTTTAATTACTGAGGTAAGTTAGTTTATGCAAATTTTAGAAATTACGTGAACGGATTAAATTAAATTTGAATTTATGGTTGGCTACTTTGTGAGGTCCCATAATTTGGCATCACATGAATATTTCTCACACTGACTATGAATTTTCAATAACAAAAAATAGAAGGTATTATTTACTTTTAAAATGTATTGGTTGGAAATTTGTAAAAGACGTTCTTTTGAAATTGAAATGTCCATCGGAAAGAACATTATGGTGGTTGATAGGCCATATCCCATGCCATACTCAATTATTAATTATTTTGCTTTTGTAATTTATGTGATGTTTTTATTGGTAGGTGAATCTTTTGCATATGCGTGCATGGTTCTAGCATATTTTTGTTAGAGGTTTTATGAAGCTTAGAGAAATCAAGTCCAACTTACAATTTTAATTATTAAATGATAATTTAAATCATTTTTTAAAATATTTTATTTTTAATTCAATTTAATCCGATAAACCTTTTTAAATCAATTTGATATCTCATTTGAAATGAATACTTTTTCGACGTTTAATTATTAATATCTCAAAAATTGATTCCATTACCAAGAATATAATGATTGTTTTCAGCTCTTAGTTGGCCACGTCAACTTTCCATTAAATTAAAGAGAAACCCAAGGTGGCAAGTGCCCAACCAAGCAAGCCTCTAATTCTAAATTATGAGTGTGCAAATGATTACTATTTATTTATATATAAAGATGGAATATGTTAACACATTATATATTTTTTTACTTCTATATTAATTTAGGGTCATTCAACTAATAGAAATTAATAGTTGAAATCAATGGTTGAAGAATTGAGAGATTTTTACACGTAAAAAAGAAGTAGATTATCCTCCATTTAAAGTTTTAATTTTAGTCATTGCGTTCTATTGATGCAATAATTTTAAACCGGTGTGAAACTATATAGTTTTATACTTTGTAAGTTGGTCTTGAGGTAAAACTCATTGTCCCAAGTTAAACCTTAAAAGTTTTATACGTTTTTTACATCATTAGATGGGTAAAAAAGAATAATTGATATTAATAATAAAAAATATAGATATATTTATAAGGAAAAAATGGATTATACTTAATTTAAAAATTGTAATCTAAAGCACTAAATTTAGTTAATTCAATGACAGCCGATTTGGTTGGTCGTTTAGTCGACCATTTGACCTTTGACCATTTAGTTATGGAAAAGTAGGAGAGGGAGAGAGGAACACAGGTTGGGAAAGGGTTTTTTTTAATAATATTTTTTTAAAACAATAAATTTATAAATGAGATACGTGTTACTTAACGAGATTTTTAGTGGTCGTTACAATCGAGACACTTCATGACAATATTTTTAATATTAAATACTTAAATGATTCAAAAAAAATTTAAACACATATTTAAGAAAACGATGTAATTTAAACATTTATTTTCTAATTAAGCATTATTGCAAAGATGATAAGACAGATTTATCAATGATATAGTGGACCACAAGTTTGATATATGCACATTATTTCGGATTTTCTATAATATATACGCTTTATACTTAAACAGCTCAATATAATAATTATAAATCGATAATATAAACAAGCAATATATAGTCATTAAATTAAATTAAGATTTTCTGTTGTGATGTGTTGAAATTAAAACAAAATTATGTTAGTATTCCTTTTTTCTCTCTTTCAGTTTTATAGATCAATTGTTATGTATTACATTTAACCACTACAGCAAAATTGTTCTACAACGGCGTTTTTAGCAGCGTTTTGAGAGTAAACGCCACTAACTTTAAACATATAGCGGTGTTTTAAATGGAAACGTCGCAAAATGGTAAATTTAGCAGCGTTTTTATATAAACGTCGTAATAGGGTTCATATAAAGTGGTGTTTTTTCAACAAACGCCGCAACATAGTGTACTTTAGTGCGTTTTTGCAAAAATCCCTCAATCATGCAAAGATATGAAGAAAATGATAAAATATTCGGATCTTGGTTATGAGAAAATTCATAGTTTTCCGAATGATTGTATGTTGTATTGGGGTGATTGAAAAAATCAGGAGTCTTGTCATGTTGCGAAAAATCTCGATGGATTACTAAGGACGCAAAAAATGTGAGTGAGGATGAAGTTGAAGCACGATCAAGAAAGATACATGTAAAGATTCTGCAATATTTTCCTTTAATACCTAGGCTTCAAAGACTTTTTATGTCCTCCAAGACTGCTGAGTCTATGAGGTGGCATCATGATGGAAGAACTGATGACGAATTATTACGACATCCTACGAATTGTCTAGTTTGGAAGTCATTTGACAACATGTTTCCAAGTTTTATGAGAGATCCTCGAAATGTCAAGCTCAGTCTTGCAACTGATGGGTTTAATCCTTTCAAAATCATGAGTACTTCGTATAGTAGTTGGCCTGTTATAATTGTTCCATACAATTTGCCTCCATGGATTTGCATGAAACAATCATCTTTTATCTTATCCATGATAATCCC